AAAAATTGATATTAATTTGTTTGTATTCAGGTAATTATTAAATGTTCCGCCATCAGTAATGGGTGCAGATATCGACTTTATATTCCAGGGTTGTACATTATTTGTCAGGAGCTTCAAAATGATGTGTCACAAGACCCCCCTTTCCATTTAAATTTATTTCTCAATATGGCGCCCAGTCGCCATCTTGAAATTTTCATCTGTCAATTTTACTCCAAAATATAGTAATCATGCATTAGTTTCTTTTTCCCAAATTTCAATTTTCAAAGTTGATCCGTTCAAAAAATAAAAGGGGGGGGGGGACAATAAAGAAATGCACTGTATATTTATTATACTTATTAAAAAGTATCTCGCGCGGTAAATTTCGGTTTTTTCACAAACAACAATTCCCAATCGCTTTGATTTATCTCGTCGCTCAATCGCGTTTTTATCCATTAACCGGTAAACAACGAATTGGAAACTCTCCGGGATAAAAAAACAAACAGCGATATTCCTCGCGCGATTCCCGAACGTACGAAAGCAGCAATATTTTAATTAATTCGCCCAATTAATTTAATTAAAAATATTAACCCTATTTGCGTTACGACGTAATTAGCCGCAATTAATAGTGGCGATTTGACAACCCGCGAGGGACGAGTTTGTTGGATGAATTAGTGTTGATTAAACGATACAGTTTAATTTTATACAGGGGTTTTTTTATATTATATAGGGTGTTTTGACGGGCAAGAAGAAGGACGAAAATTTCTTATAATATAGTCCAAGGAAGAAGCGCTTGAATTTTTGTCGCATTTATAATAAACTATAATATACAGGGTGTCCAGAAAATAAATGTCAATAATTGGGGAGCGTATATGACATCAAAATAAGGGTACAAATTTATATGAATTTTGTTAATTTAAGCTCAAAGTTTTGAGCTAGAGGCCTTTTAAAGTTGAAAATTTTAAACTTATTTTTATGTTTTATTTCCAAGTCATACATGGGAACAATATAAAATTTTTGTAGTTTATTACCTACACCCTTGTGCCCAATTTGGTGATAAAATGAATCCTACTCTACTATTAGAGAGACAGTGGCGGCGTGATCCCAGTGATTAACAATTCGTAACTTTTATGGGGACAATCTGTATAAGGCAAATATATTGTAAATACATTCTTTAATCGACGAACTAACAAAAATGTGCTCTTGTTTGAAGTCGATAAAATTAACGATTTAAGAGAAATTTTAATTTTTGAATCAGAATGTAAAGAAAATCTTTTAATAGTCGTCAAGCAGAAGAATATAATAAATGTTCGATATGAGAACCCTGTCATTGAAAACACTTATGAAACATAAGGAGAATATTTCTTTACTCCCTAAAAGGCATTTCTTGATTTCACAATTAAAAATTATTCCGTCCATTAATTCATCTCTTGATTTAGTGGAATTTCATCTAAAAGAGGTGGTAAATCAATCTGAAGAAATTCTAAGATCGTGTCTAATGTTGTCTATCAATATTTTTAGTAAATAGTTAGAAATAATAGCAGTTTGGTCAGAATTTTTGTTAATCCAAAAATCTCTCTCTTCCTATCATCTCAATATAAAAATTAAAATTTCTCTAAAATCGTTAATTTTCTCGACTTCAAACTAGAGTACATTTTTGTTGGTTTATCGATTAAAAAATGTATTTACGAAATGATTGCCTAATACAGATTGTCCCCATAAAAGTTACGAATTGTTAATAAAATTTTTATAAAAGAAAGTTGTTTATTAAAAAATTACTTTGGTAGTAATTTTAATAATCATTTTCTCCTCTGGTCAACTCCATCCGTGGACACACAAAATTGGAATTTTAATTTGAAAATTTGTATTCAGGCTTTACGTTAGATTATAAACAACTTTCTTTTATAAAAATTTTGTGTAAAATAAAAAATAATGGTACTTCCCTCTTGAGGTATTTTCATGTTTTCTTAATTTGGCAACACCCTGTAGATCCAATCTAATATTTTTCAGTGTTATTCTCATTTTTAAAAGAAGCAAAAATTTTTATAAACAATGACTTTTTGTCGTAAAATGAATAATAAAAATTTTTCTCCTATAGGCAACCCCATCCGTGGACAAACTGTATATAAAATAGGGAGTAAAAGAGAAGGTACTATAAAAGTTGTATATTCAAATTAAACACCCTTAGCAAGAAGGGTAGAGTACCTAATGTATACATATAAACGGGAAATTTCGATATAACATACTGATTTTAATATTGTCATTTAATGCCCTAAATTTGTTTTTTATCGAGCAAACTTAACTATTATGAGAGCCATGAAATACGAGTAGTTTCGGGGTGGATTCGCACAAAAGGGATCTCGTTTTAAGGGCTTTTATACGCGCCGGTGTAGAATTACCGCTCGAATATTTCATTATTGAGTTACATCCCCGCAAATTACTCGCCGGGTAGGCCCCCCCCTTTCGAAGAATACCCACCCTTAAGGGTACGCGCCCCAAAGGCGATTGTCCCGGACGATTTTACCGCTGACAACGTGCAGCGTTTTACAGCTAGAGAGGTGATAATCGGTGAATTTTTTTATTTGGAAACCTTCTTTTCTTTCGTTTGTTTAGAAAAACAGGGGTGTTAAATTCTAAACTTTATTGGTTTTTATTTAGGTGCGAGAGAACGACCCTCTTCAACCATTGGATACAAGAGGTCTGTCACCGAGGAGCAGATGGTATGAAAGTTAATTTATATGTTTTTTTTTATCAATTACGAGCGTTTAATTTGATATTGGTGTGAGTATTAAAAATCGTAAAAATTAGTGGATTAACAGGGTGTGTCTGAAATAAGTGGTCAAACTTTGGGAGCAAGTAGAGAACCACAAAATATGACAAAAGCTTAAATGTCATTTCATCGAATACATTCATCGATACAGGGTGTTAAAGATGGATTTTTAAGAGATATTTTTACTAATAATTTTATTAATAGTAAAGGTAAAGAAATGAAGATTTTTACATAAAAAAGGTATACTTGTTGATTTTCCGTAATGTGAACCGTTTTCACGAAAAATGACTTTTAAAATTCTAATACACAAAATTATTAAACTATAGTCTTTAAAAATCTTGCAGGAATGAATTCTTTCAAAAACTTAACAATTCGATAAAATGACAAGTATTTTGAGGCCGAGTATTTTCCCCTTCACTTTTAGACCATTACTTACAGACCACCCTGTATATGTTTTCAGGTGATTGTATACAGGGTGTTCCTAAACATCATGTACATCCGAAAGGAGGTGATTCCTTGATTTATTTTATGACTAAAAGTTCATATAAACATAGGTTCGCAAACGCTTCGTTATACCGATTTACAGGGTGTTGAAATTTCATTTTTTTTCTTTGTAGCTCCTGTACTTTTTGAGATACTTAGCTCAAATTTTAATTCTAGATTGCTTTATAGAGCACATATTATTGGATATATCAGATGGTTGTGGAATTCTACAGGCTGATATTTTTTCAGGAGTCATGTACCCTTTTTCCCCCCGAACTTTTTTGCTGTGCGCCGCTGGTAGATTCTAAAATACAAAATTAATTGTTTGTTTTGTTTAGAAACTTTTTTTATTTTTAAACTTTTTTCGTTTTTGTGGCCGTTATCGAGAAAAAAATTAAAAATGATTTTCTGTACAAATGATTTATTTTACAAAACAAAAACCCTAAATAATAATTATTAAATAACATTATAATAAATGTTGAAAGTGACCCCCTCCTACTCAAATTATACTCTATACCCTACATCCTATACCTATTTTGAGCTAAATATCTGAAAAACTGCAGGAGCTCTAAAAAAAAAACAAAAAAAAATCTTGAAATTTCAACACCCTGTAGATCGATAACGAAGCGTTTGCTGACCCACGTTTATATGAACTTTTAGTCATAAAATAAACCAAGGAATCTCCCCTTTTCGGATGTACAGGATGTTTAGGAACACCCTCTATAAATGTATAGATAAATAAATTTGAAATAATTTGATTTTAATAGGTTGGTAACGGATCTATTATTCTGAGAATAAAACTAATTATTAGAGAACTAATTACATGTTCGGATGATTGTATATCAATTTACAGATAATCGTTTTGAAATAATTTAATGTACATAAATAAGTTATCTATCACTCTGAGAACAAATCTAATTCATTTGATAATAAAAATAGCATTAATTTGGTCATTGATAAAATCACACCCTTTAAGTTTTTGTCATACATTGATGTTCTTTATTTACATCCCAAAGTTTGACCAATTATTTGTACACCCAGTATACGAGGCTCGATCGATAAGTTAATTCGAACTTTATTAGATGCTTTATTTATTATGGTATATAATGAAAGTTTCTTTTCATCGTTTGGCACATTACGGTTTCGATATTACAAATTTCAATCAGCATCACTAATTATATTCTGATTAATGGAGAGTATATATACGTCTATTAATTCGCGCAACGAACGAGGTCGTCCATAACCGATATGAATTCCGGATGGAAATTTATTTATTCCTCCGGTTCGGTTTACTGTCCGTTATAACGACAGCTTAATTAGACCCATTGTGGAAATCGAATAATGCTAAATGCGTGTTTTGCGCCGCGCATTCGCCATTAATTAGATACGGTAAATCGCTAGTAAAATTCGAATTATTCAGTTTTATTATAAACCATTACGATTATTTGGATTATTGCATAAAAAACGATAGTTTAAAATTATCTCTCAGTTCCTTTTAGTTTCTTTAAATAGAAAAATGACTGTATTTCTGGGTGTTTACGCGTCGTTTCGTCTGAAGGGGTGGTTCAACCCCTTGGAGATGAGTGGGGATCGTGCTGCTTTGAAGACATCTAGACAAGACATCAGACTATCCCTTCGTGAAATTTCAGTTCTCTAGCTTGACTCTATCCAATTTTATTGGGGCTGGAATTTGAAAAGCTTAATAAACTGCTCCACAAAAAAGTTAAGGAAGTTCGCAAATTTTGCGTTTATTTTCAAAGTTACAGACTTTTTGATCACCAAATTTTCAATTATGCGAATTTAAATGTTTTCTCTCATATCTGAGTGGATTTTTTGCCCCTACCTCTACAATTCCTACTAAATTTGGCGATCAAAAAACCTGCAACTTTTAAATTAATCTTAATATTTGTGAACTTCCTTAACTTTTGTGGAGCAGTATATTTCTCACATCAGTTCCTTGCTCAAATATCATAAACTCATAAATTCATCATAAATTTGCCACATTTTTTATGCTATTTTTTGTTTGAATTTATGATCCGATTTGAATGATTTTTTTTTGTATTATAGGTTGGTTCCTTGACAATGTCATAATTTTCGCTGTTTATGATAAAATGTTTCTTTTCAATTTATACCGGGTGTAATAAAAATGTAATGTTTTTTTTCCGAAAATTCGTTTCACCCTGTGGAGTATATAAGCAAACAGAATATATAGCAGTTGACATTAGACGATAGGTCCATCTATTGCCTACATTTTCTTTTTTGGTTTACATCATTATTTCTATTATTAAAGGAGATACGCCGTTTTATAGTGTAACATGTTTTAATAGACTTTATTATTCAAAACATTCATTGTTAAATGTTTTTAATTAGGCTAGAAAAGTATGGAGCTTTTCTTACATTTAAACGATGTGTTAATTTCAAATACATTATTTGTTATCTGATGTATATAACTATATAATTTCTGCTCGCTTTGATAAATGAAAACAAAATTAACGAGTTACTTTATATCATAAAGTAAAATTAAAATTATAATAATTGTACAGAGTTTATTAAACACTATTAAAAAAATCATTCAAATCAATCATCATTCAAATGTTGCGTTAATTTTGTCCACAGGAGTTTATAATGAAATTTATGAAAAACACCCTGTATATCTAGAAATGGGAAAAAACTTACAGTCGGTGCAAAACAAATATCAATGCACGTCATCTATAGTTTACTACGTCACAAGTAGGCAGTGTTGCCGAACTTTTATAGAGTTTACAAAATCTAAGAATTTTCTTAAATTATTGTCGAAATGACAAGAACAAATTGAAAATTAGGGGTACCTGTTTCACGTTTCTAAATAACGTCGGACGTATTCAGGGGTTCATTGTAATTAATCATCAAATTCTTTTATCATCTGAAATACATTTAACAGTGCGAGTAAAAAATTTAGTGTATACAATTGACCCTTAAAAGAGTAGGTACATATATAGTGACATTTCTGAGAAAACTTTTGAATCTGAATTATTTATAGAGCTCAAATTGCGTCATTTTTAATATGTGGATAAGATAACTGCGCAAAAAATTTCATTTAAATTCTTGATTATTCGGCTGAATAACCTTTAGTAGTTGAGGCTAGTAAACTAGAAAAAAAGAAGAAGAAAATTAAAATTAAAAGTACCCATCAGATGACAACGGCAACTATGCAACTTGACAGTCAGTGACTACCAACCTACTATAAGAAAATATCAATAATTTTATATACAAACGTTGAATTTTGACAATGAATATTTTTTTGGATGATTTAATTCTGCTTTTTAACATTTTCTATCATCCCTTGTTAGTATTAAATTAAATTCTGCAGGTTTTAAGTTTAATCTATTATGTGTATTTTTTTAAATTGGTCACAATACTTGACATGCTGACGACAGTTAGTGACGTGCATTGATATTTGTTTTGCACCGACTGTAATTACCACAAGCTGAACATACACCATAGAGTGTTCATAAAATATCGAATCCCTTTTTATTGTATTCCCATAAAAAATATAATAAAACCAAGAGTTTTCGCATAGGCAACAACGATTCGAATAGCGGAATTTTCTCACTAAACTTCACCCTGATCTCTATAATCAAATCGTCAGGCATAAAGCCCGTTCGGCAAACACAAAACGCGATCGACACACCTAGAATAATTTCGTCGACGATTCCGACGTGCGTTAATTATTATACAACTCCGCCGGTGCTGGAAAAGGAGAGGAGAAAAAAAAATAACCTCGCGGGGTATCCCCGATCCGTCGGGCGCGATTCGAGGGTGAAATTCGTCGAAAGGGGGCGTTCAGATGGACGGTCGGCTGTTGTTGTAAACTAAACGGAATAATGCAATTATTGTTATGATTTTGAAGAGAGCTCGCTATTATATCGGTGTAAACCGCCCCTCCCACCCCCCGGCCGGCGGCATACGGTGTATTATGCTATCGGAAACACGTTAATAAAACTTATATATTCGATTGTGATTCGGGCGAATAAAACGAATAATTAGAGCTCAAATCGAATTACTACTGTGTGATTGTATATAAGAGGTAAGAGGCGAGAAAATATATTGTGCTATAGCTGTATTTTGCACCCCTAATGTTTCAACCCTTTGAACAAAAAGTGTTTCTTTAAATGATGGTTTTAGAAGTGTATAAGATGTTTAATTGCCACTATATAAATGCAGTTATTTATTTGTAGTACTAACTAAATTATAACAAGAATAAATCAACTGATTTACAACAGCTTTAACCATAATATAGAGGATTACGATGTGAGATATACGGTTTTTAACTTAGATATTATAAATAGGAATAAGTTATTAGAACTCAAAGCAGATTTTAGTTGATGAAAATATTCTATATTTTAGGAAATATAGCCTTTTTAAATTTAAAATTTTAATTCGTGGCGTGTAAAGTCACTAACCAATCACAAAACGAACGAGTTACATTGTATTATTAGTGGCATAAGAATTCGAAAGAAATGTTCGGAAGAATAGAAGAAACGAACAAAAGTGAAATGTAAAATCAAATTACAGATGACATATCTAGGGTTATGTTATTGTAGTTTCTTTGTTTTAAGTTTATTGGGCCAAAAAATAACACTTTTTTAGAATACAATTAAAAATTTTCACAAAACGGCATGAAATAAGTTTTAACTACCTTCAGATGCGACATTTTAAAATTGAATAAGTTGATTTAGTTGGAGGTTAAGTTTTTGTTTTTATTAATTTGGCAAGTTTAAAATGTCACAAGTATACATTCGATGTTCCCATATTACCATTTTTACTCAACAATAATTTAGAATTTTAGATATTACAGTACTTCCTAAAAATTAGGGATACTATACAGGGTGTTCCTACACATCGTGTACATCCGAAAGGGGGTGATTCTTTGACTTATTTTATGACTAAAAGTTCATATAAACGTGGGTCCGCAAACGCTTCGTTGCCGATTTACAGGGTGTTGAAATTTCAAGATTTTTTTGGTTTTTTCTTTGTAGCTCCTGTACCTTTTGAGATATTTTGCTCAAATTTTGAATCTAGATTGCTTTGTAGGGCACACATTCTTAGGTATGTCGGATGGTTGTTGAATTCTACAGGGTGGTATTTTTTTAGGGATCATGTGCCCATTTTTCCCCCGAACTTTTTTGCTGTGCGCTGCTAGTAGATTCCAAAGTACAAAATTAATTGTCTGTTTTGTTTAGAAACTACATTTCTGTACAAAACAAAAACCCTAAATAATAATTATTAAATTACATTATAATAAATGTTGAAAATGACCCTCTCCTACTCAAATTATACTATACCCTATACCTATACCTAATTTGTGCTATTGAGCTAAATATCTCATAAAGTGCAGGAACTACAAAGAAAAAAACCAAAAAAATCTTGAAATTTCAACACCCTGTAGATCGGTAACGAAGCGTTTGCTAACCCACGTTTATATGAATTTTTAGTCATAAAATAAGCCAAGGAATCACCCCCTTTCGGATGTACACGATGTTTAGGAACACCCTGTATTATTTAACAATTACAAGTTCGCTCTAAATTTTTCGAATAAATCATAATTGTATATCAAAAAATACAAAAAATAAATTATAGCATAGACATACAAACAAACATCTTTTTTTCAGAGTAAGAAAGATACTTGACAACGTCGCTAAAAACGATTTTTACCACCAATTTTTAATGTGATTGGTTAATGACTTGTGATGTATTTCAAACTTTAAAAATTAATTGTGACCTTAATAGGAAATAGAGAAAATTAAAAATTGCACCAATGACTTAATAAGGATACGCAGTTTTATAAAAAAAAATAAAACAGAATAGTACTCCTCTCCATTTTCACTAAAATTTCGACATGAAACGACGCCCATCGAATACTATTAGTAGTTCTTAACAAAGCACGTGGACACAAGAGGATTTTAGACCGATATAATTAATAATTGTTATCCGATACTTAAGGGTTTCGAATTCTCTCTCCTTTGATACAATGTCTCCGCATGTATACACACACCATCATTAATAAACGCGTGCAGATGAACATGAAAGGTAGACTGGTAGACCATTCGCGCTAATATAATTCCAAAAAAATATGTATCTCTAATCGAATTAGATGAAACAAAATGGTAATAGATACCTCTATGTACTTATTATAAGGTAGAACTACAACTATGCAACTGCCTGTTAACATTGTTTATGTCACAATAGATCGCGCGAACAAGCCAATTTGGCGCGTTTCATAATAAACCAATGTTATATATCTACTGGAAATTATCTGTAGATTGTTGCCGCAAATGTCGTGATGTTTACCCCTAAATATAAGCAATAGGTGTTAGCGATCATATTAGGGGATGCCTTGTAAATTCGACGATGTTAACACAAATTTTTTTATGTTACTATAGGTATTTATACTCCGTTCGCTATCAGGAGAAAGTAATGGAACATTGTATACAGGATGTTAATTAATTGAGTGCCGATACTTCAAGATGTGAATATTTGGATGATTTTAAGAAGAAAAGTTTATATCAATATATGTCGATTTCGAGCTACAGGGTGTTACAATTTTAGAAAAAAAATTACTTTTCTTTCATAATTTTCTTGTTACTCCAGATATTTTTATGAAATTTCGGCCGTATAGGCGTCACTGGTAATAATGGTAGAAAATTATTTTTTGTCCACAAAAAATTGTTTCCATGCATGGTGGACGCTTACCAAATTTCAACAAAATATCAAAAGCAGTCTCAAAATGAACTTAATTGGGATAAAAGTTTTGGTTTTTAAATTTTTATGGGAAAATGGTGCGTCGTACGAAAGTGAGTCTTCAGACCAAATTTGCTCCAAAATAAATGAAGATTTTAA